GGGATGATTTGCTGAGGGATGGATGACTTCCTTTTATAGCACCACAGGTTGGTTGAAACTCCCCCTCCATTTTAGGTGGAAAAGGGTTGAGATTCACCTAACCACCTCACTTGGACTTGGACTCACGGTTTTGAACATGTGGGAAATGTTCTCCTTACCCTTCATTAATCAAGACGTGCGTTTTAACAAATTGCCCTCCAAAAATGCGTCGGGCACAATTTTGTAAGAAAACAAAATTCTGTTATTTTCTTCTAACTTTGACTGCATTTATCTCATATTTTTCCTAAAGTACCATAGTTTGACTTTTATGCAGAAATAATCTATGCATGTTCTACTTTAAGAATATGTGGTCTTTTTTGGCAAATAATAATGGGAAATGGGTCAAAAACATGGTCAAACAAGGCTACCGACACATGTTTCTGTAGTAAAAAGTCAACCCTAACACACTCCCAAAATTAGCCATTTGCTTGTCCTCAAGCAAGAACGACATCAACAAATCTAAAACAATCAACACGCTAGAAATATGAATGATCAACAATCCAAATGTTCTAAGTAAATGAATCATATAAGTCTCAGGAAAGGCTCCACAAGCTAAACGTCCTAACTTTACTTTTAAGCCAACAAACCATAAACCATCCTTTGTTTTGAAAATAAAAACGATTCTAAATCTTCTTCTTTTCTAAAACACAAAACTCTTTTACAAAACCATGGAATATGCACACTTTCGTTTTGATTCAAAAATTTTAACATCAAGTGGATCGGCTACTAGCCCCTGAGGTTTTTAACACACTAACACCGGTTTCAAACCACAGCCACTCATAGAAACATGTTAGGTAGCAACCCGGCATAAAATGATGTCGATAATGGTTTTCACGAAGTTACCTTAATATGTAGGCTACCACCCTCCAAGATGCTAACGCCACCCATTTAAACAAAATGAATGTCTATAGTGGGACTCGTGAAAAAGTAAATGTGTTTTCTTTCCTCTCATGTTTCTTACCACTCTTTTCTTACTCTCACTTGTTCTTTTTCTTTCCCTCACTCTTAGTTTCACTCACGACACTTTTTTGACTTGCTTTTCTTCTTTTGGACTATTTTTCATACTCTTCCTTCCGAAAAAAATTTCTTGCATATGACTCTTTTATTGCTTGAATTTTCTTTCTTGACTCTTTTTCCAAGACATAAAATGCATTTTCTTTCTTAAAACAAAAAGACACACATCGTCCCACCCAAACATAAGGGAAACAGTGTCCTCACTAGGGAAAGAAATTGTGAGAGATGCAAAATTTTGGCACAAAAAGAACAAGGACTTCCAAAGTAATGAAAAAGTTAAGGTTTCAAAACAAAAAGAAGCAGAACACCAGTTTTATAACCAAAACAAAACGAATGGAAAATGACTTATGGCTTGATCATAAAACTAGGAAATCTAAACTATTCATGCCCTTAAGAATCCTCATCGACATGATACAAAAACAAAGAACAAAGGAAAGCATTTCATTAAAAGGATGAACATCTTGAGAGTTTAGAAAAGTTACATTGAAGAAGSTAAAGACAAGCTAGTAGCTAGAACAAGGAAGCATGCAAGCTTGAACTATAAACATATGCAAAAATACAACTTATATGCAGTCCTAACAGCACAACATCCCAACACTAACCTAAAACTAAAACTAAGCTAAAAAAAATTATCATGCAAACTAAAAGAACAAAACAACAACCTACACAACCTAATATGCAAACTAATCTAACAACCTAACATACAAAATCAGGATCCAAATATTAAAACAAAAGGAGGAAGATACTTCCCTATTCATCATCGGAAGACTCATCGTCGGTGGAATCGGTAGGAAGATGGGAACAAGATGGTAAGTCGGCCGCAAGCTCATCGGGGAAAGAAGGTGCTTCATCATCGTATATCTTCTTGAGGAAAGCACATGTGGCACGTTGAGTAACCAAAAGAAGCTCGTACTTGTGCTTAAGCTCATTATATTTCTCCCTAGTCACCACCCCTCTGGTCTCGGGATCCATGGCGGTAATGGGAAAGTCTCCCTCTCGAACAATGGAATACCCCCGAACTCTTCTTAGGGATGTGAACGGCTTCTTGGCCATCACAACATTGGCATCATCGGCCTCCACTCCCGCCGGCAAGCATAACTCAGTTATTAGTCCAGGAAAAATAATAGGACCTACCATTTTCTCAGAGCAACTTCGTATCTCGTTTCTTATGAGTTCCCTAAAGTTGAACTCAGTGCCCTTCATGAGAATGTACACCATCATCACCCTATTGCGCTTAATGGAGGAATCGTGAGAAGTGGGGATCATCCGGTTCTTCACCACATACATCCAAACCATCGTTTGCTCATTAATGTCAAGGGGCTTTAAGGAAAGTTTCCCCGTGTTTGAGACGGTTCATGTCTTATGTGGTCTACAAATAAGCCTATGCGCCTCCTCCACTTGCTCGTCCGATGGATGCACCAAAATTTCATTACCTATGGCATTAAAAACATCCAACAAACCATAGTGAGTATTAATAATGGAAGGCGAGAATTTTACCAATTTACCCTGTACTCTCACTACATCCCCTCTGTTTGGGTTGATGGCAGTGTAAAACTCTTTCACCAAGGCTTCTGATACACGTGTAGTTGGGGCAAACAACGACTCCCAACCATTATCCACAAGCTTTCTCCTAACATATTCCAACACCGGCTTTTGGACTTCATCAAAACCTCTCTCAAGGAGGATATCACGTGTTGTGAAGGTGGGCCTCCTCACCTCCAATCTCACCCTTTTTACTCTTGATGGTGTTTGTTCGRTAGAATCGGGCTCCTCTTCGTTGGCCTCCTTAAGTGGTTCTTCAGCCCCTTTTTGCACCCTAGCGCTCTTGGCTTTTTTAGATGGACCAACATCAGATTCTTTTTAGGCAGTCAAACGTGCTACAGCGGCTCGGGTCCTAGGTGCAGAAATTGCGCCAGGCGCAATTTCTGCCACTTTTTTCTTCTTTTGTGTTTTCTTTACCACTGCAGTCAAGCTCACCTCCTCATCTGAATTCTCTGTAGTAGCAATGAAGTTTGGGTCAGAAACATTCAAACTTGACAAAGAAGAGGTCTTACCTTGTGAAGAAGGAGAAGGTGATTCCTCCATGGCCTCACTAGGGACATCCACAGGATCAGATATTCCTTCGTGCTCTTTTGCAGGGGGCTCCTCATCAACTTGCTGAGATTCGTGCACCGGAGCTCATACTCTCACTTCATATTGAGAGATATCATCATTTTCTTCTTCCTCTTCAAACTCATCTCCATGCACTTTTTGGGGTAATTCTCCAAGATTTTCATCATCTCCATCAACATTCAATTGTCTTTGTGCTGCCCCACTGTTTCCATCATCCTCCAATGGATCCTCTCCCCTTGTTTCATTCAACGCCACCAAAATTTCAGCAATTTTCGACGTTGTCCTTTTCGGTTCTAAATCATCAAAAACTAGGGGCTTTTTAGTCAAGATAGGATCTGGAAAAGATGGAGACAAAACTAGGGGCTTTTCGCCAAGGGCTCCGTGTCATGTTCTGAATCCCCACTAACTTGTTCTTGACCTTCAACATGCACAGCAACAGTAGTGGAAAGAGGGGGAGGGATAGACAGTTCTAAAGACTCGGAAACAGGGTTATCTTGAGAAAGATTCATCCTACGACGTATGCTCATGCTATTTAACTCAAGTTGAATCCCTCACTCACTTTCTTTGAGTTTTCCATGAATTCTTGACATTTTATGTTTAATTCCTCAATTTCACGTAAACTCTCTCATTCTCTTTATCCCTAATTTTGTTATTTTTACTGAACATCTCCGCTCTCTCTTAAAGTCTAGCTTTTTCTTCATCTAAAAATGCACCTTTTTTCCTTTAAAGATTGATTTTTTCGAAGATAGACTTTACTAACACCTCTTAATTTTTTCTCACTAGAACCTTCTTTATTAACTCGAGCATCATGAGAATCCATATTGATTTTTTCAAAATTTGTACCACCTATGGATAGATTTCTCCTAGGGTTCATTTTTATAGCTTCCTCATATTTCCTTCTTTGTTCCCTAGTATCAAAAACTAACTTTTCATGAGAAATCCTAGGAGATTCAAGAGGAATCATACCCGGTTTGGTTGGTGGAGGCAATAACACTCTCTTCTTTTCCTTCTCTTTGTCGTGCGGCTTGGAGGAAGATGAACCTTCCATGGTTCTTGAGTTTGCTTCACAATCAACAACGAAAATCCCTCCAAAAAAACCCTAAAGGTGCCGAAAAAGAGAGAAATGAGAGTGACTTTAAGATTCTTTGAGATTTCTTAAGAGAAGATTTGAAAACAAGTGAGAAAATTTTGGTAAAAATCGTGAATGAGGTGTTTTCAAATCCTAGGGTTTTATGTTTTAAAACATATTAAAAACAAAATTGGGTTTAAAATTGGGCCTCCTTTTGATTTAAAAACAACCTAAAGCCCATTTAAACATAACCCACATAATGCCCACGAAAGCCCTAACCATAACTAAAAAAAATCGATTTTGTCTCTTAAATTGCGCCTGATGCAATTTTGACGAGGGTCGGATCTTGATCCTGCAAAATTCAAATGCAAAAACAAAAATTCGATTTGGAATCTACACAAAAAAGCCTTAAAGAAAATGTAAAAAATTCACAAAAAGAAGACAAAAAAACATTTTACATAAAATGCCCCCCCAAACTGTCTGAGGGACTGTTTCCACTGTTTTTTCATGGGTCTTTCAGTATTATAGAGGTTTTACCTCTGTCAATATACTCGCCATAATATTTCTTGACCCGATGCCCATTTATCTTAAAGATATTACCTTTAGAACCCTTTAAATTCATTGCTCCATGTGGATAAACATGTTCAACTACGAATGGGCCCGACCATCTAGACTTAAGCTTACCTGGAAACAACTTTAATCTAGAGTTAAAAAGCAAAACTAAGTTTCCAGGTTCTAAATTCTTGTCTATTATCTTTTTGTCATGTCACTTCTTAGTTTGCTCTTTGTACATCTTGGCATTCTCATAAGAAAACTGACGAAATTCATCCAACTCATGTAACTGGAGCAATCTCGCTTCACTTGCAGCAACATAATCAAAATTTAGTTTCCGCATAGCCCAATATGCTCTATTTTCTAATTCTAACGGAAGATGACATGCTTTACCAAAAATAATGCGATATGGGGACATGCCTAACGGAGTTTTATAAGCAGTTCTATACGCCCACAAAGCATCATCAAGTTTAATAGCCCAGTAGTTCCTATTTACATTCACGGACTTCTCTAAAATTGACTTTATTGCCCTATTTGATACCTCTGCTAGTCCATTAGTTTGTGGGTGATATGCAGTAGCAATCTTATGGTGAATGTTATACTTTTTAAGCAAATTACTTACTGCCCTATTCAAAAAGTGTGTACCCTCATCACTAATCAAGCATCTAGGTGTACCATATCTAGTAAAAATAAACTTTTGCAAGAAAAGAGAAACTACCTTGGCATCGTTAGTAGGGGTGGCCAAAGCCTCAACCCATTTCGAGACATAATCAAGAGCCAAGAGAATGTAATTATTACCAAATGAAGGTGGGAACGAACCCATGAAATTGATGCCCCAAACATCGAAAAGTTCAACTTCCAATATTGGGTTTAAGGGCATCTCATGCTTCCTTGTCAAGTTACCTGATCTTTGACAGCGGTCACATCCTTGAGTGAATGTATTATGCTGCTAAACCCTAGGTTGGAAATTTTGACTGACCGAGGGTCGAAAATTTTGGGAGGCATAAAGAGAGTAATGTGAAGTTGTATTATTCACATATGGTTGATTATACCCGTATGGTGTTGGGTAATAATATGGAGCGTATCGAGGTGTTCGGTCGTACGGTTGTTGTTTCCAAGAGTGTTGGTCAGCTCCTACCATTTGTACCTCACCCTCCTTCTTTTTCGAGGAACCTGCCTTTTCGTGGCTAGTGTCCCACTAGCAATACCAGTTAACCGGCCATGCTTGACCTCATACTCAATTCTTTCTCCATTGGTTATAATATCAAAGAAATTTGTGGAAGCGCTTCCAATCATCCGATCATAGAAGGGATGTTTTAAGGTGTTGATGAACATGGAAGAAAGCTCTTTATTAGTTAAAGGAGGTTGGACTTTGATAACTCTCAAATAGAGAGTGTTTAACATACTATTCAAGGCAATTATGGTGCGAAAATGCAAGGATTTATAGAAATAAGCTCATGAAAAAGGGAGAATACATCGAGCGAACCTTAAACTCTTGGAATTTCTAAATTTCTCTGGTTTTCATGATTAAATGCTTAATAGTTGTTAGTTTATGCAGGGGCAGTGAGTTCAGATCTTAAAGAAGAGGCATGCTGCCAAGTTTGCGAAGATTATGTTATGTATGGAAAAGAAGTTGGTCAGCAGCCTGCAGTTTGTCTGAATGCTCTAGAGGGCGTAGCAGCGCAGTAACTCTTTAAGCTAGAATTGTTACTGCGTTTGTACAGCCTCTAATAGATGCCCTAATTTTAAAAGACAGAGTATTTAAGGAAAAAAGGGACAAGCTGCCAGAGACACCCCTTGGAAGTTAGCATCGTTTTGGGAGGAGAGAAAGAGGAGAGAATTCCGTCATTGACAGGGGAATTTTTCATCGAAGAAGGAGCTGAAAGATACGGGTGGTGCTTTTGGGTTACACTGTACTCCCGAGGAAGCTTCTGATTCTCTGTTTCCTCCCTTGACAATGATTTCATCTTCACTCCTTGCTATTTTCTTTCGTTGTTTTAATATGAACTAACCTTCACCTTCGAGGAAGGGATAATCCTAACGTTTGTTGTTTATTCGTAGTTTATCTCGTTTAACTTCAATGAATGTTTAATGGAAGTGTACTTCATTCTTGTCTCACTACGCTTGTGTGGCCTACTTGTCTAGTGTGTTTTCTTGCTTGAGGTTCGGAAGATCCCYTGTTAAGTAGCTTGGCTTTCTTTAGCTGTATTAGTCTTTGATCAGAAATGAGGTTGAATACCTAGAAATGGGGTTTGCCATACAGTGCCTATAGATCGTTTGTTCTGAGCATTTTAGTTACCGTGGGAATCAGACTAAAATACATCTGGGGTATCATGGAAAGAGTCGTGAAGGTTTGGGCAACATAGTTGAAGTGTTGAGCGGTGTTAGCCCTTCTAACAAAAGAGCAACGCTACGGAAATCCCCCTCCCCGATTTAATTATCATTCATTTCTTCCGTGTGTTTCTACTATTCGTTGCTGACTGCTATTGGGTGTGTTGGGAGCCTGCAGCAGATGGTTTCCATTGCTTGTTTTCCATTTCTTGCGGCTCATGGACAGAGTTGCTAGATGTAGCAGGATCTGCGGCCGTCTTGCCTTTTCCCAATGCGAGGAGGATGACATCTAACTTTTCGCGCAACTCCTCAATATCTTTCCTTATTTTCTCCTGCTCAGCTTTTTGATCTTTCATTATTATTCTCACCCTGCATCTGGTACGATAAGTGCGATATGGTGCTGGTGAGCAAGATATCTTGAACAATCCCTTTTGTTTTTAGAAAAATAAAAGACAGAAAGAGAGAGAAAGAAAACCATAAATAAATGAAGATTACAAGAAAGCGACAATTGTGCCCCTAATGCTTAAATCATGAAATTGAAAGTACATTAAAGTAGAGTTTCAATAAAATTGTCCCCAATGCTCTAGATCTCACTGAAGTTTGCCCAGGAACTTGAGTGTGCTTTTGCCATTTGGTTGTATAGAGGCAATGGCAAACGTGAGAACTCGTGCCTCTTCAGCTAAACCATCTGCCCTTCGAGCTACCCATCTGACTTGGGTGAGCACATGTTCTAAATTATGACGTAACAATGTATTATCGCACCTCACATGGTCTAATTCATACCCCACTTGGTGTATTGTTCCTTGATATGGGCATAATCCTGCATTAACCCATCAACAACATTCTGAGTTTTGTCGAGACGGCTCGAAAGTGCCTGAACAATTTCCCTCAATCTTTGATTTTCTTGTAGAGAAGCAATTTCAGCCTCTTGTGATATTTGATTGTCTCGCGTCCTCAAAGCTACCTGTGAGCTCTCTCATTCCCTTTTTATTTGGTACATTCTTCTGTTAAGGTCTCGAACCTCTACTTCTAGCGGTCTATTTTCTTTTCCTTGGTAACCGACCTCCCTTCTTGCCTGCTGAAATTCTAACTCAATGCTTCGAGGTAAACTTTGATTGAACCCTAGTTGTAGTCTTTCTTTAGATGATGTGGTGTCCTTCTCGTAGCTCATATTCTATCCTGCGAACCTTTCATTGATTGGGCTGATATGGGCTCATTTCGGTAAGAATTCTCCTAGAGGGAACTTCTAGCTTTCCTTTGCCCTTGTCGGTTGGTAGGAGAACCACAGTTTTTCCCTATTCGAATGCCACTGTTCATATCCTTCAAATGTATTATTATGGTAATTGCCACTTTGAGTTCTAACAATCACTTTCCACGCCTTTACGATCTCTTGAATTTTGTTTTTGCAAAACCCAACATCATAGGCAAATTTAGAGTTTCTTAAATCATGTGTGGCTGGGATAAACTGACGTACCCATATCTGGCGCATCACCATTAATGGGGCATAAGATACACATTCCCATGGACCCAATAACGGTAAACTATAAAATTTACCACACCTATACATTATAGGTTTGGTTGACATATATTGGGCCCTCCACTCCACGTCTTCTGACCTTAGTCCTACGAAGAAAATGCTCCACTCACCCTTTCCATGGTGGATTTGACTCACTCCCCTTGGTTGAATTCAAGGATGAGATTCTGCAATCTACTCCACGATCTTGAAAATTTCACCTAAAGACACTTTAACTATGGTGGACAATTTATATGGCTGAGGACCCAAATGTATAGCAGCTGAGAACAGCCTATAAATTTCCTTACTCCTCTCGATATGCAAAAATTTAGTGCTCGGAAGGTTTCTGCAAGGATGGGTATCACGAGATTAACTCCTATCTCTACCTTGACAAATAGCTTGACCACTCGCTCTTCAACGTACCCACTAACTTAGGGAATAAAACCAAGTTGAATAGGCATAGAGCTAACAACGATAGCTCTCTTTCTTCATTAATGAACCTCTGCTGAAGCTCAAGATATATTCTATCGATAAGCATGTATTTTCTTTCTTCCTTTTCACATGTTTTTCAATCTCACTAGCAGATATCTTCCCTACAAGTAGTGATATTGCCCTTTTTAATGTAAATCCGTCATCATAGGAATAAACCTCAATTTTCTCTTTTAGTGGTATTTGTAGGAGAGTGTGGTATTCTCGATAGTGGGGGTCATATCCACTGAACCAAAAGTGAAGCATCTATAGACCGGATCCCAATGTTGGACTAGTGCCCTCAATACCGAGAAGTTGACTCGCACGTATAAGCGCTGCGGTATGTGGCCATATTTTTTATGAACTAAGTCTTTCTGTCTGGTCTTAATCCTTCCTATAAATGTTTCAAGCCATCCAACTGATTTTCTAGGAACGCTACACTATGAAATGGTGTGATGACATTCGCTAATAATGCGTCACCATGAGTATGCTGCATATTTTCTAACCATTGATGGACAGTTTCTTGGTCTTGCTCTTTCCATTCTTAGGCAGGAGTCTTACTGGAACTCATGCTTTTAATTTATTATCAATGTTAATGATTTAAGACTTAGGTCAATTTTGGCACCATTGGCGGAAAATAATCTTAAAAGAAAAGGGAAAGTTGAAACTCTTTTTTTATTGTTGTAAAAAAAATAACGATTATTATAATAGTAATAGTAAAAATAAATAAAGTGAGAAACGAGAAACGTATGTAAATGCATGAGACTCTTTTAAACATATTACTTTATTAACACCCACGCAAACAAACTAAACAAATAAATGAATAAATAGCTGAAATTTGATGCTAAAATGAGTGTAAAGTTAATGCCTACACAACCTAGAGGAAAACGGCCGTCAAATCATCCATACACCTTTGGAATATAGTTAACTTAAGTGGAGAATTTCATACGCCTGCATGAGAATCAAAATTCCACGAAGGTCACACTACTCAGTCTCCAATCTAATCTTAAAGGTAAAGTCTGGGTACGAGGCTTRTGTATTGTGTGAAATGCATGATAATGCGAAATTATAAAAGGTGCAATCACAAAATAATAATAATAATAATAATAATAATGGACCAAAATAATTTGTAACGGATAAAAAACGACAAAAATTACGGCTTGACTCTCAATAGTCCCCAATGGAGTCGCCAAGCTGTCCAACGTCATCAGGACTCGGAGCGGCCGATGTCATCCCTTGAAGAGTCTCTTTCGAGATAAGGGTTTGAAGTCGCCACCAATCATCTACGAGCTAGGTGTGATTGGTCACCTATTTAAAAAAAACAAGGTCTACAAAAAATAGATTGTTGGTTTGGGAGTCGACTGAGCGTAAGGAAGATGTTAGCACCGTGCAACACCTATTTGAAAACGGTACCATATCTTGTCATAAATAATCCGATTATATTATTTGGTCAAAAAAAAATATTTTTGTGTTTTTTATTTAAATGTCTCACGTTATATTAATTTACACTTTGTTATAAGGTATGAATTAATAGGTATGAGTGACACGAAGGCCATTAGAAAAATTTTATCACATAAGTGGTAACACTCAAACCTTTTACCAATGTGTCAAAACCTTAGAATACTACTTAATTTCTTTTTTAAAATATAAATGTTTTATTTTTTGAAATTTGACGAAAAGTTTTTTTCTCAATTAAAAAAACATTTTATATAAAATAGCTGTTTAGTAAAAACAATGATATAAAAATAAAAATAAAATAAAATAACTTTAACTTGAGGAAACAAAGACTCAAATCTGAGACATACAAATTGACCCCTAAGAAACAGACCACTATGCCAACACCACAAGAAACAATCTAAATTTTCTTTTCAAAATACAAATCTTAATTTTAAAATTTTATTTAAAAAAAATAAAAATTAAAATAAAAATTAAACCCGAAAATTAAAAAAAATTATTTTATTTTAGATTTGAAATCCGTATAAAA